CTCCACTTCCTTGGAAGCGGCCCCCAGATGGGAACCACCACTGCCCATGGGGGGACTGCGACCTCCAGCCCATCGCGCCCGCGCCGCTGGGCGGGCGCGACCTACGCCACGAGAATGTATACACAGACACCCTCCGACGAATTTGACACGTACCTCCAGGAAGGCAGCGGCTTATAAAGTCGTTGGCTCTCAGTGGTGATTTATACACCGCCCCCCACCCCGAGGTCCAGGAACAGTCCATCGGAACGCGTCTGCCCATCTATTTTTGTGGCGGGTCTGTCGTCTTTCTTTCTCGAGGCCTAGGTCACATGTTGGACGGCTGGCTGCCCATTTCAAGCGCGAGTTTCCTCACAGCCTCGACCGCTTCATCCAGAGCAATCGATTCAGCCGTGAAGGAAGGAATCGAATCGTTGTTAAAACTTCCTGCTATGACTTTCGGGTTCGTCACTGCATGGGCCTCATTGCCGAAAACCGCCTCGATGCACCAAGCAGCTGCTGAGTAAGTCCCGGCACACGTGCCGCCATCTGTATGCACCAGGAAGCTTGCTTCAGCAAGCTCCTCGGTGGAAATTTGACCAGATTGAAACCAGGACCCCCAGCTTTCCATGGCATAACGGACCAGGTATTTACCATCGGCTCGAACACTCCACGCCCGGTGCTGCCAGCAGACCACCTCGTCGATGCCTCGCGCAAGGGCGCCCGTCGGGCCGAGACGTGCCCGCGGGGCTGTCGTCCTCCGGCCCACCACTGGCGCGCCCGTCGCGCCCGCGAGCGGCGAGCCCAGCCGCGCCCGCTCCCTCGCGGCCTGGCGACCCCGCGGGCGCGACCTTCGCGGCGGCGCTGCCGCACGGAGGCGCGCGCGCCCCGTGGGCCCGCGGGGCCTCCCTCCCAGGGGCCCGGCCGGCGGCGGAGGGGGCCCTCGCCGCTGCCCTGCGCGGTGCTCCGTCGGCCCACGCGTGTGCGACGTGTCTGGTGCGCCCTGAGCGCCGTCCTCCTCCTCCTCCTTCTCCTCTCTCCCTCCCTCCTCATCTCCTCCTCCTCCTCTCCCTCCTCCTCCTCCTCCTCCTCCTCCTCCTCCTCCTCCTCCTCCTCCTCCTCCTTTCGGCCATCGCAGACCGCTGGTGCGCCCTGAGCGCCGCGGTCTCAACCAACGGAACACGAGGAGGGGGCCGAGGAGCAGACGCCTGGCGTCGGCGGCGGGGCCGAGGGCGGCCGCGCTGGCGACGAAGGCCCTGGACGGGGGTGCCCTCGGAGCGAGGCGTGCCACCATGCAGGAGGAGGAGGGAGGGAGGGGCGCGGCCGAAGGAGAGCAGGGACGGGGCGGGCGGCTCAGGGCTCTGAGCGCTCCCCGAGCGCGGGCCGAGAAGCACAAGCCGTCGACGGCCAGCGAGCCGGCGGGAGGCCAGCGGGCCGGCGAGAGACGAAGCGGGCGGTGGGGCAGGCGCGGACGAGCCGCTCCTGCCCAGGGCGCGGCTCGAGGCCGACGGGGGCTGCCTGCTCGGCCGCCTTCCGCCCGGTGCGCGGCTGGGCGCCGCGCGCTGCAGGCCCTAACCCGTCATCATCCGCGGGATCAGCGTCACCAACGTCGTGGTCCTCCGCAGCAGCGTCATCCCCCTCCGCTCCTCCGCCTCCTCTCCTGCCTCGGCCATGCAGTGAGCAGCATCGTTCTGACCCCGGCTCGTCCGCTCGCACGCTGTGCGCCGTTGCACACTTCCAGGAGGGGCCCGAGGAGATCGGCTGGCAGAGCTGAGGAGGAAGAGGGGGGGAAGGAGAGACAGGGGAGAGGGGAAAGCAGGAGAAGAGGGGAAGAAGAAGGACAAGGTGGAGGGAGACGAGGGGGGTGAGAGAAGGGAAGAGTACGTGGAACGGAAGCAGGAACGGGAGGGGGAAGAGGGGGAGGAGGAGCAGCAGCAGCAGGAGAAGGACTAATGGGGAGGCTGAGGAGGACGAGAAGATAGGGTTGGAGCAAGGCTGCCAGACGTTTTCGGAATATTGTTGCGAGCATTGTCCTGCGTCCCCAAGGCTTTCTTCAGGCATAGGGAGGAGAAGGAGGAGGAGGAGGAGGAGGAGGAGGAGGAGCAGCAGGACGAGGAGTTGGAACGGCAACAGCAGTAGCAGCAGAAGCACAGGGGAGGAGAAAGTGGCAGGAGGGAGAAGGGCGGAGGAGTAGGAGCAGTGGCAGCAGCAGCAGAATAAGAACGAGGGGTAGGGTGAAGGTGCACGATCCTGCGCGCTCATGCTCGGGAGCCCCACGGAGCGTACGCGTCCAGCCACGTGCATGCATACGTCCCCCAGCTCGCGAGGCCGCCCTGAGGTCACGGACGCTCGCGCGATGCGCTCTCGCGGAGCCCATGCCAGCTCGTATGCGCGCACATCTTTGCTTCGCTGCTGACCCGCGTGCCCCCCGCCCGTCCACGAGCGGCACGAGAAGGTCGGCCAGCAGGACGAAGTAGGCCACCTGGGACAGCCAGCATATGGCGAACACCAGCGCGATGGTAGCCTCTCGGACGCCCGAAATGGGTACGGAGCACGTGGGCACAATGCCTAACAGCTAAATGTTGTCCGAAATCGGTACCCGCCTCCGTTGGGCAGTCGACTTTATGTCTCAAATGGACAACGTCCGCGGCGACGCCACCGAGGAAGGGGGAGGGCAGGGAGGGAGAGAGGGCAGGCAGGGAGAGAGGGTGAGGAGGAGACGGAGAAGGACGACGACGACGACGACGACGACGACGACGACGACGACGACGACGACGACGAGGACGAGGACTAGGACGACGACGACGACGACGACGACGACGACGACGACGACGAGGAGGGGGACAACGACGACGACGACGAGCGGGGAGGGCAGGCGCCGAGCTGCAGAAGCTGTCTCGCCCGCTCCCCAAAGCGCCCTCCCGCCCCCAGATCTGGAGCCCCGCCACGGCGCGGTGACAGACCGTGCGGTGACCTCCTCGGATGCCCCCGTCGCCCGAGACCTCCTCGGAGAGGGACTCGAGCCCCACAGCCGTGCGGCGGCCCCGAACCCCCACCGACCTGCCACACGGCGTGGCCCCAGACGTGCGACGTCCCGATCTTGCTCAGGGCGGCGTGCCCCGGAGTCCCGACCCTTTCCCCATGGACCGGCTTCTCGTCCTGGGTCGTTGTTTGGCGGTCCCGAGGCCCGGCGAGGGCCCCCCGGGGCCGAAAACGGTGAAAAAGCTCTTTGTCCCCATTTTTTAACGACGCCACCATGCCTGGGGTCACCACCCCCTTCGGGGGCCCCCGGAAAGCGCCCTCCCGATGCCAGAGAGCAGCGCCCGCCGCCCGGCACGGCGAGGCAGCGAGGTCCCGGAGGGCCCTTGGCGGCCGGTGCCTCGAGACTCCAGGCGCGCCGGCCGCGCCGGGCGCGTAGAGCCCGCAGAAGGCAGGGAGGGAGGAGGAGGAGGAGGAGGAGGAGGAGGAGGAGGAGGAGGAGGAGGAGGAGGAGGGGGAGGAGCAGCAGGGAGGAGGAGGAAAGGAGAAGGAGGAGGAGGAGGAGGACGAGGAGGAGGAGGAGGAGGACGAGGACGAGGAGGACGAGGAGGAGGAGGAGGACGAGAAGGAGGAGGAGAGCAGAAACAGAGGGGGGCCCGCGCAGGGCGGGCTGGGACGTGGGCAAGAGGAGGAAGCTGCGCGCAGGGAATCGAGGAAACAGCGCCAGAGGCCGCGCGGTCAGCTCGGCCTCCGTGCGCTCTCCTCGCCACCGCTCTTCCCTCCCAAGCTCATCTCCCTCCTCCTCCTCCTCCCTCGCCACCGCTCTTCCCTCCCAAGCTCATCTCCCTCCTCCTCCTCCTCCTCCTCCTCCTCCTCATACGCCTCCTCCTCCTCCTCCACTCCTCCTCCCATCCTCCTTCTCCTCCTCCTCCTCCTCCTCCTCCTCCTCCTCATCCTCCATCCTCATCCTCATCCTCTTCATCATCCTCATCCTTCCTCATCCTCATCCTCATCCTAATCCCATCCTCCTCATCCCTATCCTCCTCCATCCTCATCCTCATCAGAACAGCAGCATCAGCATCAGCATCAGCATCAGCATCAGCATCAGCATCAGCATCAGCATCATCATCCTCTCATCATCATCATCATCATCATCATCATCATCATCATCCGCATCATCATCAATCATCATCATCATCAGCATCATCATCATCATCATATCATCATCATCATCATCATCATCATCATCATTACTCATCATCAGGCATCATCATCATCATATCATCATCATCATCATCATCATCAATCATCATCATCATCATCATCATCATCAGCAGCCATCATAATCATCATCATCATCATCATCATCATCATTTTATTCATCATCATCATCATCAGCATCATCATCATCATCATCATCATCATCATCATCATCATCATCATCATCATCATCATTATCATCATCATCAGCATCATCAGCATCAGCATCAGCATCAGCATCATCATCGTCATCATCGTCATCATCATCGTAATCATCATCAGCATCATCAGCATCGTCATCATTATCATCATCATCATCATCATCATCATCATCATCATCATGAGCAGCCATCATCATCATCATCATCGTCGTCATCATCATAATCAGCATCATCAACATCATCATCATCATCAACAACATCGTCATCATCATCGTCGTCGATATCATCATCATCATCATCATCATCATCATCATCATCATCATCACCATCATCATCATCATCATCATCAGCAGCATCAGCATCACCATGATTATCAACCTCATCATCAGCAGCATCATCAGCAGCATCATCAGGATCATCAGCATCATCAGCATCATCTTCAGAATCAGCATCAGCATCTTCATCACCAACACAAACATCAGTATGTATTATTATCATCGTTTCTTCCTCCTACTGATCCTCCTTCCTCGTTCTTCCCTTCTCGTTCTGCACTCCTCGCTCGTCGCGCGTAACTCTTCGTTCCTCGCTCCTCGTTCCTCGCTCCTCCTCGTCCTCCTCGTCCTCCTTCTCCTTCTCTGCTTCGTCTTATTATTTTGATTCGTCTTCAACGTGTTGATATTATCATCATCACTCTGCTTCTGGCTCTTTCTTCTTGTCATTATCTTGCACATTGAAGTGTCTAAAGCTCTGCCGACTTCATTTCGGCACAGCACCGGTCGATGCAGCCCCCAGGCTCCCACCTCCCAGCGCGCCCAATCCGAATTCCCTTTCTAAAACAGCCATGCCGAAGTAACCCCTCGGCCTTCCGCATCCCTCCCACGCCAGCCAGCGCAGCCAGCCCGCCAACCAGCCCGCCCCCTCGGCACCGGTCCCACCAGCCAGCGCGACCCCTCCGCCCCGACCGCTAGATTTCGGCACGGCACTGGTCCAGCGCGCCCTCTCCACCCCGACCGCTAGATCTCGGCACGGTACCGGTCCCACCATCCAGCGCGCCCCTTCCGCCCCGACCGCTTCATTTCGGCACGGCGCCAGTCCCACCAGCCAGCGCCCCCCCCCACCAGCCAGCGCAGCCAGACAACCAGCCAGCGCGCCCCCTCCGACCGGACCGTTTTATGCCGGCACAGTACCGCCCCCACCCGCACCCCTCGCGCAGCCAGCCCCCCCGCCTCGACCCCAGCGCGCCCCTCCGCCCCGACCGTTGGATTTCGGCACGGCACCGGTCCACCAGCCAGCGCGCCCCCTCCGCCACGACCACTTTTTTTCGGCACGGCACCGCCCCCTCTCCCCCACCAGCCAACGCGCCCCCTCCGCCCCGACTTTTCTACTTCGGCACGGCGCCGCCCTCCCCCCCCCCCCGCACCCCCCGCGCAGCCAGCCCCTCCGCCTCGACCCCAGCGCGCCCCCTCCGCCCGACCGCTAGATTCTCGGCACGGCACGGTCCCACAAGCCAGCGCGCCCGCTCCGCCCCGACCGCTTCATTTCGGCACGGGCACGGTCCCACCAGCAATCTTCCTCCGCCCCGACCGCTTTAATTCGGCACGGCACCGCCCCCCCTCCCCCACCAGCCAGCGCGCCCCCTCCGGCCCGACTTCTGTATCAACAGCCAGCGCGCCCGTTCCGCCCCGACCGCTTTATGTCGGCAAAACCAGTCCACCAGCCAGCGCGCCCCCTCCGCTCCGACCGCTTTATTTCGGTACGGCACCGCCCTCCCCCTCCCTCAGCGCGCCCCCCCCGCCACGACCGCTGTATTTCGGCACGGCACCGCCCCCCCCCCGCACCCCCCGCGCAGCCAGCCCTTCCGCCTCGACCCAAGCGCGCCCCTCCGCCCCGACCGCTGTATTTCGGCGCGGCACCGGTCCCACCAGCCAGCGTGCCCCCTCCGCCACGACCGCCGTACTTCGGCACGCCACCGGTCCCACCAGCCAGCGCGTTCCCTCCGCCCCGACCGCTTTATTTCGGCACGGCACCGCCCCCCCCTTCCCCCACCAGCCAGCTCGCCCCATCCGCCACGACCTCTTTATTTCGGCACGGCACCGCCCCCCGCTCGCACCCCCCGCGCAGCCAGCCCTTCCGCCTCGACTCATTTTTTCTCTTGCACAGGGTGTCTAGAGCTCAGACCCCTTCATTTCGGCCCGGTACCGCTCCCCCCATCCCGCGCGCCACTTCCGCATCACCCCGCGCATCCCACCCACCAGCCAACGCGCCCTCTCCGCCCCGACCTGTTCATTATGGCACGCCTCCCCCCTCATCCCGCACGCCCCCCTCCGCATTACCTCACCCACCAGCCAGCGCGCACTCTCGCGAAAAGCGGCCAGCTACCCACCTCAAGCCTGGGATTGGGGTGGTCAGCGAGGGCGGTCTCGCCAGCATGCCTAATACTCTGCAGTGGCTCGCAGCTACCGCGGCGTGAATGGAGATGCTCAGTAAACTTACCTGTTTAGTGTTGGGCGGAGATCCAGCAGCTCGCTCTCATAGGGTCAACCGGCTTTTCTTTCTATTTCGGCACAGCACCGCCCCTCCCGTCCCGAGCGCCCCTTCTGCATCGCCCCACTCACCAGCCAGCGCGCACCTTCCACCCCGACCCCTTCATTTCGACACGGCACTGCCCCCCTCCCATCCCGCGCGCCCCCCTCCGCACTCCCCCACCCACCAGCCAGAGCGCCCCGTCCGCCTCGACCCCTTTATTTTGGCACGCCCCCCCTCATCCCGCGCGCCACCTCCGCATCACCCTGCCCACCAGCCATAGCGCCCCCTCCACCCCGACCCTTATATTTCGGCGCGGCACCGCCCCCCCGCCCCCTCCCGCACGCCCCCTCTGCATCACCCCACTCACTAGCCCGCGCGCCCCTTCCGCCCCGACCTTTCGGCACGGCACTGCACCCCCATCCCGAACGCCCCCTCTGCAGCGCCCCGCCCACCACCTCCATCGCCCCCCCCACCAGCCAGCGCGCCCCCTCCGGCCCGACCCCTTCATTTCGGCATAGCGCCACCCCCCTCCCATCCCGCGCGCCCCTTCCGCGCCTCACCCGCCAGCCAGGGGCCTCCGCCCCGACTCCTTTTATTT